AATTCAATGACGACAATGTAATCTTGACATTCTATCGAATGAATGTCATAGATCACGAATAATCTAAAAAATTCAATCGATAAAAGCTGCATGGGTCATGATTGTTTCCATCATAACATTTTTCAATAATAACGAGATTAATAATCACCGAAGAGTAAATCAATTTTTTCAAAATATCATTATCTCATTCATTTAATACTTTTAATATACGAACTGATCTTTGTATTAGCAAGTATATCTCAATTTACATAAACCTACATTGAGAAAAATGTTTAATTGGATTAATTGGAATTTCGAATTAAAAATGAACGAATCAGATTTTTTTGCTTATGCTAGAATCTAGTTAAGATAATCCGAATTGTGATTATAATCAGAATCTTTTGATTCATTTTCAATCCGATATTTTTTTCAGTGTAATATAATTAACATTAATAATTAACATAATTAATAAGCATGTAAGATGCAAATTTTCAAATAGCACTTGGTATTGAGGATGCATAACGCGGGATCGCGGCACCAATGTTATTCTACTATCTTTCTTCGCGAAGCACTGAAACGGAGGCGACCCTGACAGCACATGCATACGTCGTTCCGCGTTTATATCGAGCTCAATGCAATAGCGTTTGTAGAGAACTGCACCTGGCAGCGCCCACGAAAAAGCAGATAAACGATTCGTCTTCCCCGCTCCGCCTGTGACTGATTTGCATCGTGTAAAGTTCGTCTTGCACCATGCGCCAGTTGCATCTGCGACGAGATGCATGTGCGGTGCGTTTAACTGCTTCCCGCCACGTGTCGTTCGGGAAGGAGCTATAAGAAATGTTGTGCACACTCGATGAACGTCAAATGTCTATGTCGTGTGATTGAACATCGTCGGCATTTGAAGCTGTCGGTGAGACCAGGAAAAGAGTAAATTTTATCACTTCGGCAATAAGGTAGCAAAATTTTAAACAAAGGAAGCTAATTTATTATAATTCTTTTTGCATTTGTCATTAATTATTTATTTTATTTATCTTCGAATAAACAGCAATCAAATAAGTAATAAAGAGAATGAAAAGAGATCTTTACAGTTAAAAATATATATAAATCTCAAGTATTGAATGAAAACAGCCGATAAAAAGTTTCAAATTATAGAAGATCATTATGAAAAAATTATTATAACCTCCATGCACATTTAATGTAGGTAATTTAGTCTTTGTTGTAAGATGACAAAATGCGCTTGTATAAAACGCGTGTCAAAATTAACATCCTCAGCGTAGGTAGATAATCATAGTGTAACATATCTTTTTACATATTCGTTTATATCATGACGCACAGTCTGAAATGAAGAACTATATCATGACGATACAATGCATTACACTTCATTTACTTGCATGTCGTTCTTTGTTAATTAAATATATTACTGATATTGTATTGCCGACATTTTATTAATAATTTAAAAAAATAAATATTATATAATATTTCAACAAATTCCATTAGAATTACATTTTTTCACAATATAAATAATCGTAATAATTATTGGATATTGGAAACTAACATTTTGTTGAAACATACATTTTTTCGAATGAAAAAAGTTTTAACTATACTTTTATAAAATAACTTTCTTAACTTTTACATAATAATAAACAAAAAAAATAGAACACATGCGAAACTATAAATTATTCTATGAATTTGTTGTTCTCAAAATTAAATCACGATTATATGTGATAATTTTTCACTTCTACAAGGGTGAACAAAGAAACATGACCATAGCAATTACATAATCGATATATGAGTGTAAATGTGTATGAGAATCATACTTTAGCGTATATATATCTCTGTTATTCTAAGAAACTTACATTCTAGATAATAATACTAACATTAAACTTTTGTTTGCAAAGTAAGTCATTTATGCATGATGCCATTCGTTCAATTTTGATCTATTCGTTAATTTCAGATCGTAGATTTGAAAGACAATTAAAAGATAAATACTTTGCACACTGACATAAGTGGAAAATTAATAATTAGATGTATTACTATTTGATTCTCAAATACTTTCAAGTTGAATATTTTCTTTTTTTATCAAAATTATATTTTGACTAATTATTATATATTTGATTATAAACAAACATTTTTATTATGTTTTGTTACAATATTACATATTTATAACATTAAAGTTGCTTTGATAAGCGTGAGAACAGAGAACTCAAGAATGTCAACGCAAAAGGAAATTAGTAAATGTCTCAGAGGAAGAAGATGATTACACGGGACAAGATGAAGATATTGTAATAGACAATTATATTATTACACTTATTTCTCTTAAAGAGAAAAATAGCAGAAAGTACTTTTAATTAGGAGAAAAGAAGATTCTCTAAAATCTCAGAAGCTTAAAGACTAAGCAGAAATAATTGTCTATTAAGCTAAAGAATTTGTAATATTATAAAGCAATGAAGTCCATTGGAATTAATGTTTAATTACATGCCTAATACATTTCCGGAAATATACACAATTATACGGATTATTTCGAAAGTATTCAGAAAGATATTTTTAGATTCCTGTGTTGAATTTGCTAAAATACATAAAAATGATATATTATAATATATATATATATATACATAATATT